GTGGTCACCTCCGGGGCAGCCGGGGATCGAACTCATGTGGAAGTGGCTTTAGCTTCTTAGTGCTGTGCTTTAACCCTCTGCACCACCAGGGAGGGCCGGGATTTCTATTTTTAAACTAAAACAACTGACTGTTAAATAACTTCTACTATTTTAGGTTGACTGTATATTAAGGACAATTAAGACAAATCATACTGATTTTCATATGGAAGGGCCTTTTCAGATTTTTTTTTAGGTTTCTGATCATGATTTTTTTTCATTCAATAATATGACTTAGGATGTAATAAAATGTTTGATAATTCCTTTATTTATTATGACTTAATTTCCATACTTATTGATTTATGTATTTATTAATTTATGCAAGTTGTCTTTATGATAATAAAAATTAAACCAATAATTTAGCAGCAAAATTTTGGTAGATCTATCTCTGTATTCCTTCATATGTGAAACATTTCTTTTGCCAAAATGTAATTATGAAATACATTTTCACCTTACTTTGCCACATACAATTTAAGCATGTCTTTATTGATCTTTTTTAAAGTTCTAGTACATGAGACGTTAGACCTATAGAATGTATACATATTTTGGGACAGCATTTCTTTTAAGTCAAATGCATATAACATTAAATTTTGAGAGATATAACATGCCATTCATTAAATTTGTACCCCCAACTCTCAGCATAGCATAGCTATAACAAATCTTTGCCTATATGATAAAAAAATAATTGCTTTATTTATGTTATTCTTTTAGTGAGATCAGAAAATTTCCAGTTATCTATAGCAAGTTCTTCTCTTTGGGGCCAAGTTCCTATTAATGTTTTCTCAGTTATTTTTTTATACTCAATGATTTATAAAATATATACATAATATGGTCTTAACACTGATTTTTTTTCTGTAATAATTTTCAACTTTATAGTAACTTTAACAAATCCTATTAAATATCTTAATGCAATTAATTCTTCACTGAGTATAATATATACTATTTACATAAATAGTTCTCTAAGAATTAAAATGTTCAGAAAATAAGAGAAAAAAATTAAACACTTAAGAATATTAACAAATTATAACATTTTTAACATAATTCGGTTTCCTTGAACCTTATATTTACAGGTTCATAATTTTAAAAATTTCCAAAAGAATATTACCTTATTTTAATGAGTATTTTATTTTTTAACTGATTTTTAAATAAAATTTTACTAGTTCACGATTGATTTACAATGCTCTATAAAATTGGGGGGAGGTTTAAATCTAGACCTCTGCGCATGGGTAATTCTCACCTACTACCACTGAAGTTCCCCCCACTTGGCTGACACTCTCTATCCCTCTCTTCTACCCATTCTCCTCTATTCCGGTGTTTAAATTCTGGGAAGTCTATGTTTCTATCAAAATATCTTCAGATAATTTTTCTTCAATTTTTACATGAATAATAGCATTTTATTTCTCAGCTTTTTAAGACATTTTCTTTGGGGTTATCCTTTTTCATCACTTGCAGATTTCCATTATCTAGTTTACAATTTCATAACATTGTTTCAGGCATATCATCTGTCTTCTCTCATTTGTTGGATTTTTTATTTCATCACTATGATTCTTATACCCAATGTTGTTTGGTTTTTTATCTTTTGCCATGCGATTATTGTCTTCTTTTATTTTATTTAGTGTGTTCAAACTTAATGTATGAAAGTTTTACAGTTATTCTGTTTCTACAGCCAATGGAGTCTATGACCCAATGTCTATTTTCCTTTGCAATATCTGTGGGTTTTTTGTTTTTTTTTAAGATTTATTGTATTTGTACACACAGAACTGGGGTACGGGCCAGAGGCTCAGGGGCAGCGAGAGGCTTCACCAGAGACAGAGTGGGGAGCAAAACAGGCAGATCCACGAAGTACACTGCTGAGGGGAGCAGCGGGCGGGTCAGGAGAGGTCTGCCTCTCCATGTGGTCACCTCGGGGCAGGCTGGGATCCAACTCATGCGGAAGTGGCTTTAGCTTCTCAGTGCAGTGCCTTAATCCGTTACGCCGCCACCAGGGAGGGCCAATATCTGTGGTTCTTATATTTGTTCTCGAAGTTCAGCTTCCCTTGGAACTTTGACTTTGTTAGCTTCAAAACTGTAATAATCCCGAGGAGATCAGTGAGTGAAGAAGAATAAATAAGCCTAAAGTATAGGAGCCCTAATGGGTGGCTGAAGCCAGGCTGGAAGGGCTTGCAGGGGAAGGTGGATAGCCCCAGGGAAATGCAAATAAAGTAGCACATTTAGGGTGGATACTCTGATCAGAAGTAAAAGGACTGCAAAAGCAGCCCCTAGGATTCCTTGTTTGAATTAAGGATTTCAAACATTCAATGTTTGGGAATCAGCATTTTGGGATCTTCAGGGATTCCTGGGTCAGTGATGTTCCTCACCACACTGATCTTCCAGAAGGCTGTTGCTGGCCTCTAAAAATCACGGAGAGGCCTCCAGCAGCCAGCCTCAGATAGGAAAAGTTTAGAAGCTTTACAAGTAGCTGAGTGACTGAAACTGTTCCATTTTGCTGCTGTTGCAGCTGGGCTGGGAAGGCAGAGACCTGACGGGCCCCATGGATGCCTGAGTGTGGCTGTTTGTTGGGTAATTCGGCCACTGCATCTACTGTTTTTAGTGGTGCTGTGCTGAGAGACACCTGGGCAGTTCCCGGGAATACCTTCTTTCAGGTATTTTGCTGTCTTAGTGAGCTGGCTCCCAGCTTGTAGTCTGGCTGCCACGTACCCCAGGCCCTCAGTGGTGAGAAGACATCGTCTTGAAAGCGTTTGTGTAAAGGACTTGAAAACGCTGGACACTGGTGCAGATGAGGTAAACGACCATTTGTGGCCTGAGTAATTCTTTATTTCCCCTGGTTTGTTAAATAAATCCCATTGTTGTTGTTCTCTGAACCAGAGTAACCTTGCAATTGTGTGTGGGGGTGGAAAAACTCAGACAGTGACCGGTAAGCTATTTGGACAATGTCCTTGGCCAGTTTTGGTACCTCTTGCTGCCCTGTATCCACCCCCAGAAACAGAAAATCCCAATCAATTCCTTCTGACCCAATAAAAGAACACTTCAGGTGAGGATTGTATACTCTGTTCCCCGCAGAGTATGGAAGTTCTCTTCTCATTATAGTTCATCAGTCCTGATTGTCTGGAAGATGAAGGGTAAGAATGGACTTGCAGAAGTTTGTTTTTATCCTCTTGTTTCCCTCTGATACAAATACCTTTTATACTGCCAATTTTGTTCCTTAATCAGCAGCAGGAATAGAGATTGGTGATTTTCTGTACTGCCTGCCTATCTCCTGCTCTGTATAAAGCTCCCCACCACCTTTAACATCGTAACCCAGGGGTCTCTTCGATTTGCCTTTTTCTTTTTTTAATGGGTTTATCTTGGAGGGTAGAGCAAGGAATTTCCCTAATACAATATTTTAGTATGACAAGGAAACAAAACTGAAAAGTAATTAGAACTGTCTTTTCACCTGCATGCCAATCTGTATCACAGCTCTGGCTCAGTTATGTCTCAAATAAATCCCTTAACTAGAAAGTCTGGATTTCTAAGGATATAAACATTGCTCAGACTTTTGATGTATACTGTCAAATTGCTATGAAAAAAAAATAATTTTCAAAATAGCTCCTAATATATGTCTAGATTCCCAATTTCAAGGCCAACACTGGACCGGCAGTTTTTGTTCCTAATAAGTCAAAAATGTCTCATAGTTTTGTTTTTTGTTGTTATGATGATAAAACATTTTTATAAATTTACTAGGCACTTACATTTCTTTTTTGTTGCATTTTGTCATCTCACCATTTTTGGTCACATTTTCTGTGGTAGTTTTTATCTATAACAATTACCCTGTTAAGCCCCACTTTATAAAATATGTGTAAATGGTCCTTTTGAAATCACTTCATTTGTCTTTAAAGTTGAACAAAAATTTGTTTTGTTTTTTTTTTTTTGTTTTTTTTTCTCTTGCTTAAATGTATTGCTTAAGTTTATATTTGGCAGCCATCCCAGGACAGGTAGTTTCGCTGTCAGTTTGGGCATTTTAAAAGAGGACTTGGGAGCCTCTGGCATCACCCCCCCCCCACAGGGTTTTTTTAAAGTACACAGGGGATTTTAATTATTGCTTCAATTTCGCTGCTTGTAATTGGCCTGTTCAGTTGTTCTATATCAGCTTTGGATGATTGTAAAATTGTAGGAATTTGTCCATATTTTCTAGATTATTGAACTGGTTTGTATATAGCTGTTCATAGTATTCTCTAATTATTCTTTTGATTTCTGCTGTGTCTATTGTGATTTCTTCATTTATGATCCTGTTTATTTCTTCTTTCTTTATGAGCCTGGGTAGAGGTTTGTCTATTTTTAAAATTTTTTTTTGAAGAACCAACTTTTGGTTTCATTGATTTTTTTTGGATCGTTTTCCTAACTTATATTTCAACAATGGAATATTACTTAGCAATCAAAAAAGATAAACTCGGCCCTCCCTGGTGGCGCAGCGGGTTAAAGCACAGCACTGAGAATCTAAAGCCGCTTCCTCATGAGTTCGATTCCCACCTGCCCCGGAGGTGACCACATGGCGTGGCAGACCTCTCCTGGCCCGCCCGCTGCTCCCCTCAGCGGTGTATTTCGTTGATCTGCCTGTTCTGCACTCCACTCTGTCTCTGGTGAATTCTCTCACCCTCCACATCTCTGGCCTGTATCCCAGTTCTGTATGCACAAATAAAATAAAATCTTAAAAAAAAAAAAAGATAAACTCATGCCTTTTGCAGCAACATGGGTGGAGCTGGAAGGGATCATGCTTAGTGAAATAAGCAAGAAAGAAAAAGAAAAATACCAAATGGTTTCACTCTTAGCAGGAACGTAAGGGTTTGGAAAGAAAAAAAAAATGGCAACTGTAATAAAAGTAAAAAACAAAAATCAACAAACAACTATAAACCAGAGATATTCTGTGGGAATAGGGTCAAAAATGGGGTGGGAAGAAAGCATGAGTGTATGGTGATTACACATGGGTGATTGGTGGTGGGAAATTCACAAGGATTACAACCAAGATGAAAAAGTGTATGAAATGAAGAATGATGTAATATATATATATATAATTAAGATAATTAGGGAGATAGCAGTGAGGGCCCCCTGTAAATCTTTATAGCTCTTTTCCTCTGGGATTTTTCCAGTGTTCTCCCGCAGTCTCCTCCCCTGGGGCCATCATGGGTCCTCTCATAGCTGCTTGTCGTAGCCATCTCTGAGTAAAGCCACCTCATGGCCCTGATCTCTAGGCGCAGGTGTGCATAGTTGCACATGTGCTCACACCCAAGCCCAGGTGTAGGTAGTCAGGCACGAGTGCCCCTCACCCTCCATGTTAACGATCAAGGCTGTAGGATAGCCACAGAGGCCAACGATGTAAAAGCCTGACCGAGTCACTTACCCTATGCTTTGTTATCTTATGAGGTTCAATCTCATATATGTTACTGCCCACAGTACTCCTTCATATTTTGTCTTAGTTGGTTATTATGTTGCAAGAAATACCTCCATGATCTGTTGTGAATTCTTGGTTTTCTTAATCTGCAATACCTGGTACATATGAGACATTATTATATGGAAAACAAATACTGTATTTTTTAACAAAGAGTGAGATAGTGGAGGGTCACATTGTTAGACCAGGATTACTTAAGTGCCAAGTAAATGTTTTCATTCTTTTTGTTTGTTTGTTTTAAAGATTTATTTATGCTTACAGAACTGGGATACAGGCCAGAGGTGTGGTGGGTGGGAGGATTCACCAGAGACAGATTTGCGAAGCAGAACAGGCAGATCAACAAAGTACACTGCTGAGGGGAGCAGCTGGCAGGTCAGGAGAGGTCAGCTCCCTGGCGGGGGATGGAACTCATGCTGCAGTGGCTTTAGAGAGCTTCATAATGCAGTGCTTTAACCCATTGCATCACCAGGGAAAACCCCTCATTCTTTTTTTAAAGTTGTACTTATTTATACATACTTATTTAGGCATAAATAAGACTTATTTATTTATGCACACAGAACTGGGGTACAGGCCAAAGGTGCAGGGGCAGTGAGAGGATTCACCAGAGGCAGAGTGGAGAGCAGAACAGGTCAACTGACAAAGAAGTACACTGCTGAGGGGAGCAGTGGGCGGGTCAGAAGAGGTCTGCTGCACCATAAGGGCCACCTCCCTGGTTGGGGATCAAACTTGTGCTGAAGCGTCTTTGTATAGTGTCATAGGCTAGCTCTGCTCTAACCCTTTGGGTCACCAGGAGGGCCCAATGTTTTCAATCTTTCACTGCTGCTCTATTACTCTAAGTTCCCTTTGTGTGTACCCTGCATTCTGCTACTTAGCAATTAGCAGTTGTTGTAGTTACACTGCCTTTATCACTGTTCTATGATATTTTCTGGTACTTCCATGAGCAGACCCTGCACTTGAAATTCTCATTTTAAAATCTACTTTTCCATGTTTCCTCCTTCACTAGGTTGATGATTTCTGTTTCATAGTCCACCCCACCTGCTCCTCAGCTTCAGTGGGACATAGGTTACCTATATCATCTGCAAGGGAGAGCTATCTTTGTTTCTGGTTCAGTGACTTCTCTACAATATCTGGTTTATTTTATTATCTTCAATATTGTTTTTACTTTTCAAACTCAGAGGGTTGTGTCATAGGTCTTGATTAATCTTGGTAGTTGATTGTAATAGATTTCTGATAAAGGCCTAAGAATTAAATATCCTATGTATACTTACATGGGATCTATTTAGAAATGATTATTGTTTTTAAGTTTATCAATAAAGTGAGCACCATCTATTCTGAGTTATGCAAGATTTCAAAATAGTTTAAAATCACCCCATCTTCCTATTTTTGTTACTTCAGCTATCTTGCCCAAATTGTCTTTTGGTAAATAAAGCCTAAGAATGTATTTATTTTAAATTTTATACAGGTTTATCAGAAAATCTATGAAACATTTTTTTGCACCTTGCTACATCCACCAGTAAGAATCTGAAAATAAATTATTTTGTGGAGGAATATGCTGTTTTCATCTATTTGAAATAAAACTTTTTCTTGGAAGAAGTAGAATGGCAAAGATTCGTGGCCTTACTGCTTGAGCCAAGAGCCACTGGTTCTGCTACAAAGTAGCTGACAAGCCTTCTCTTTTTATCAATGATTGGCAAGAAAATGACCTGTAGGAATTACATAATTTCATAATGTGGATAATTTATTTCTGTATCTTCTCATTCAACAATTGCTGGTCTCTTTGTTTCCATTGGGAAGCAAGAAAACTGCAGGAGACTGCTCTCTAGATTCTCTTAGTCCCTATCATGTTGGAATAATCACTTACATTTTTCAGGAGCATGCAGTTTTCCTAGTGTGTTAAAGATATTGATCTCTCTGATGTTTTAACTGTCCAAATATATCTGAATGTTCCTATAGAGCTCAAAAACCTAAAAGTTAGAAGAAAATTACTATGGCATATGATTTCTTAGTGCTATGGTTCTTTTGCTAACATATACTGGGGTAAGGAATCAAGCACTTGAGAATTTTCTCTTTTTCTATAATATGTTCATATACCCTGGGTTAATATGTCAAAAGATGTGATTTTTTATTCTATTTAATAACTGTGAACTAGTGTAACCAAAATATTCCATATATTGAAATGTCGGAATTCTGCCTCTGCTTAGGCAAAAGTCATTTGAGATTATCACTTCTCTTAAAAAAAGTTATATAATCTAAAACATCATAGCTTTATTTGAGCCCATTAAGAAATGAAATCAGTGATAGTCTCATCTGCTATGGGGAGAACTTTTCAGTTTGCTATAGTTTCAATTGTTTATATTCA